TAATATTTAATTGCTTTAATTAGTTTCCTAGGTAGATTAGAATTAGTCATAGTTAGTGATATAGCCACACTGACGCATAACGGTCCATATCATTACAGTTCAGAGGTCACCGAGTCGACTTGAGCAAAGTCGACTCCGCCAATAGGCTCTTCGTGATGCTCACGATCAAGGATCCCCGCACTCATCTAAATCGACGTACATATGTCGACTGACATAAGTCGAATCCCTCCAAGACAATGATCAAACATGTTGAGATCTGCTAACGGTTGAATACGATCCAGTCGACTCGAGTCGATACCTCAGGTTGACTGAAGAGATCTCGCAGTTCATAGATCTCGACAGCTCGGGTATACTTCAGCATATCAAGGGAGAGTAAAGGATAAGGAAGAAGCTAAGGAAGGATCTAGAAGCTGACTAAGAAATGGGCGGAATGCGAACCGACCAGGGTAATTTGGACATTTCCAGTAAGTCGGTCGGGGCATTTTGGGGACTTCAAGTAAATATTTCACTTCTATATAAAGGAGCTGAGGTAACTCCAAAACCCTAACTCCCATTCATTCTACATCATTTTCTATTATTGTTGCTGCTCTCTGAGAGCGGCTCTCTTCATCTTCTTCACATATTGACTTGAGCGTCGGAGGCTCTACACTGGAAAAGCCCTCCGGTGTTGAGTTCTTGCAGGTGTTCTTGCAGCAACGGTTCGAAGGCCATCAAGTCAGATCTGAGCTCATCCATACTGGTTCATCCCAGATCCGGACGATTTCTCATTGGTTTGTTCCAAATCTGAGAAAAGACCCATCATTTTGGCGCCGTCTGTGGGAAGTTCTTGAAGGAATTAAGAGCTTTGCACCTAGGTTGGATCTGTCTCCGATGGCTGAGAAGGAAGGATTGTAGAAAAATTTGAATGAAGATTTCAGGGCCGCATGGACAGATAAGCGACCCCCGCCGATTCCCAACCCCAAGCCGCCGCTCCAAGTGTTCGGTTTTCCACCGTTCGGGGCACACGCACCGTCAGGAGGGCGTATGGGGGAGGAAACGCCTATCACCCCACCAGGAGTCAAGATCCCAGTGCTCACTCAAGGGGAGGCCAGTCACGCGAGGAGCACGAGCGGAGAAG